TATTGATATCATGTTGTTTCATATGTTTATTAAGTTGTACAGTTTCCACTGTTGTAAAGTCGCAGAAATCGCAAGAGTAAGTTTTTATGTTTATTTTCACTATATTTTCTGAGTCATTTTGTTTTTTATGTATTCTATAGATGTGTCTTTGCAGCCTGTGATTTTCCAATGTTGTATAGTCGCAAAAATCACAAGAGTAAGTTTTTATGTTTATTTTTACTTTATTTTCTGACTCATTTTGTTCTTTATGTTGTCTATAGATGTGCCTTTGCAGCTTGAGATTGTCCTCTGTTGTAAAGTCGCAGAAAACACAGGAGTGCGTTTTTATGTTTATTTCTACTTTGTTTTCTAATTCATTTTCTTCTCTATGTTTGCTAAAGATGTGTCTTTGCAGCCTGTATTTTTCCACTGTTGTAAAGTCGCAGAAAACACAAGAGTAAATTTTTATGTTTATTTTTACTCTCCTTTCCAAGTCATTTTGTTTTTTATGTTTTTTAATAACGTGTCTTTGTATTACAAGACTATAAGTTGCTGTATAACCACAGTACACACAGGAGGACGTTTTTAAATTTATTGGTACTTTATTTTTTAACTTATTATGTTCCTTATGTTTGCTATAGATGTGTCTTTGCAGCTTTGGATTGTCCACTGTTGTAAAGTCACAATAAACACAAGAGTAAATTTTTATGTTTATTTTTACTTTATTTTCTGATTCATTTTGTTCTCTATGTTTGCTATAGATGTGTCTTTGCAGTGTGTGATTTTCAGCTGTTTTAAAGTCACAGAAAACACACGAGTAAGTTTTAATTTTTATTTCAATTCTCTTTTCCAAGTCATTTTGCTTTTTATGTTTTTTAATAACGTGCCTTTGTATTAAATGACTATAAGATGCTGTATAATCACAGTAAACACAGGAGTACGTTTTTAAATTTATTGGTACTTTATTTTTTAACTTATGATGTTCCTTATGTTTGCTATAAATGTGTTTTTGCAGCTTTTGAGTATCCACAGTCGTAAAGTCACAGAAATCACAAAAGTAAGTTTTTATGTTTAATTTTACTTTATTTTCTGATTCATTTTGTTCTCTATGCTTGCTATAGATGTGTCTTTGAAGCGTGTGATTTTCCACTGTTTTAAAGTCACAAAAAACACACGAGTAAGTTTTTATGTTTATTTTAATTCTCTTTTCCAAGTCATTTTGCTTCTTATGTTTGTTAAGAACGTGCCTTTGTATTTTATGACTATAACATGCTGTATAATCACAGTACACGCAGGAGTGAGTTTTTAAAATTATTTCTTTTTTATTTTCATGATGTTCCTTATGTTTAAAATAAATGTGTTTTTGCAGCTTGTGATTTTCCACTGCTGTAAAGTCGCAGAAAACACAATGGTAAGTTTTTATGTTTATTTCTACTCTCTTTTCCAACTCATTTTGTATTTTATGTTTAGTAATAACGTGCCTTTGTATTAAATGACTATAAGGTGCTGTATAATCACAGAAAACACACGAGTAAGTTTGTATATTTATTTCTATTCTATTTTCCAAGTCATTTTGTTTTTTATGTTTTACAATAACGTGTCTTTGTATTGAATGATTGGTAGATGCCGTATAGTCACAGTACACACAAGAGTGAGTTTTTAAATTTATCGCTACTTTATTTTTTAACTCATATTGTTCCTTATGTTTGTTATAGATGTGTTTTTGCAACGATAGTTTGTAAATCGTTTTTTTGTCACAGTACATGCAAGAAAATCTTTTTATTTTTGTTTCATCTTTTTTAGTTGGTTTTTGTTTTTTATCTTTGATAACTTCGCTGTTCACTGATGCATGTCCATGGTCTTTGATCATATGCTGGGTTATTTCGTATTCTGGTCCGATAAAAAAGCAGTCGCTGTATCCGCATGTCGATTCACTATAACAAAAAAAGCTTTAATTTTTTGAATTTTTTATAGAAATTTAAACTAAACTTAAAATATTTATCAATAAAAATAATACTAAAATTTACAGAAAAAACTTTATTAGTGTAGTAGTCTGTTACATAGTTAAAGTCTAATCAAAATCTAAGTCAAATGGCTGAACTGATAAATACACCAGCAATAAAATATTGACAATAAAAATAAAATAAGTTACTAGGTACATATTTATTAAATAAACTCTATTGTAAAGTAGGTTAGCTCAAAACTAAACTATCAGTCTCCTATACATGTATATGCATATGTCGCACATTACATAGAAGAATTTTAACTCGTTCATCTTGGTTTAGAGGCTTGGTATTGACAGCCTTGCCCTAAAAACCTATGAGGAAATCTGTGTAACTTTCATAGATCAAATACCAAGAAAAAGTAAGTTCTTTTAATACATAACTAATTTTTAATTTTGATTTGATTACTATTAAATACTATATGCGCCATCTATACTTAAATAGATCTGCCTAGTTCGTAGTTTGTTAATTTAATTTGTAATTGCTAGGCGTTATCCGGCCATTTTGGAAATTGTTAGAGAGGGGTCGTTTTGTTTATTCGAATATTGGAAAAGTCATCCTACATATTTTTGAAAATATTTTGTTGTGAAAGCAAAGAAAAAGGATGGCACTAAATCCGATCAACATATATTTCTACTAGGTACTAAAGAACCAAGATGGCGGAGATGGTCAGTCTAAAGAACAATACTTAAAAGAATTTCCCAGAGAGGGCCAAAGACGATACTATTTCATTATAATTCACAATGGTAACAATAAACTAGCACTTGCACTATTAAAAACACTACCTATTATAAAAAACCCATTAAGAATGGCTTAAAATTAGGCACCAAAATGATACAAAATCCATAAAAAATGGAGTGAAATTACTCATGGTAAATGCTGATTCACTAGGTTAAAATGACTTTGAACTTGCCATCAAGGTTTTAACATTAAAACGCTACCGCTAGTCATACACTGTTTATTTCGAAATGCAAAAGTATTTGAAAACGCTGATTCACAATGGTAAACCTTCTAAATAAGCACACACAAATGAGTTTTAACAAATAAAGCCTTTTAAAAGATAAGCCTTTTATTGATATTTTATTTTATACATGCTGATTCAATATGGTAAAATCCAAATGAAGTAGCCATAAAAAATAAATTAAATAATAAATATTAATAAATATTAAACCAATAAATTAAATAATAAATATTAAACCAATGATTCACAGTGGTAAACCTCCCAAATGAACTTGCACTTAATTAATTTATGGTTCATAAATACTTAAGCATTTCAAAATGCTGATTTACAATAGAAAATATTTAAAAATGGCGCGAATTTAAACATTTAATTTAAAACTTTACAATTTATAACCTATTTTCTAATAAGCGTCAACACTAATACTAATACTACTACTGATACCTACAATACCAGCTGTGTCTACTTTTATTTCAAACGGTAAATGGCAAACATACAATAATGATTATTTTTCCACTCCTATAACGGAATATGACCGTTCTAATATCACGTTAAAGAATAATTTGTTCTGTACCCTTTCAGGAATATATATAATTCCACATTAAAATCACCGTATGACGGAATAATCACAGGTGGGGACATCTCTGAGTATATTATCTGATAACTTTAAACCGATCCAACGTCTCTTTTCCCCAATTTAATTATTTTTCTATAAACTATAGTGGAATTGCATATTTCATGAAACCTTCAAACTCGCTCGTGTGACAAACTTTTCACTCGAGCGGAATATGCCGTATTCCAAACTTGTAACAGAATGTACTATATTTTGTCAACGGAATGATAAGTCGTTCAAAATTACTTGTTGCTAGTCGGTATCGGCAACAACTGACCCGAGTATCAAAACGTCAGAAAATAAACGTATAGGTCTGTGGGTAAAAGGCATAAGGGGATAAGTCAAAAAAAGGAATTTTTCAATAGAGCCTTTAACGTGATCGCATTAATTCAGGAAATATATTTATGTTTAGCGGGTATACGCTTTTGTTAGCATATGACATGTGGTAACAAAAGGGTATACCCGCTAACCACAAATATGTTTCCTGAATTAATGCGAATACGTTTAAGGCTCTACTGAAAAATTACTTTTTTTTGACTTATCCCCTTATGACTTATACCCATGGGTGCACAGAGGTTAAAACACAGAATCATAGATAATATGCACATAACACAAAACAAAACAAGTGTCAACTATTTTTGGTGTCAACCATATAAAAAGCTCTATGGTTTCTAAGCGCATGCTTACGGAATGCGGTACGGGAATCTATAAATTAACTTTTTACAAGACATAAAAATCGTACAGGCAAGCGGTCGGAAGGCAGAAAGGAAGGCAATCTATAAATCGGGCTGAAGAGATAAAAGTTGGCCAACTCTTCCGTTCCGCCATGCGTCTACGTCCATTTATAAACATAAATTCTAAGCTAGCCATAGTTGATGTTTTTCCAGCTTAAATATATTTTCCGGGAATGTCGGCTACAGATCCTTTGTTGCCACATTCATTTGTGGGAGTTGCTATTGTTGCCGTATATTGCCTGAGCGTTTATATATTGATCAAACTTATTATTAAGGTTTTTTAAATACCTCAGCAGGGTGTCTACTGAATAGGCCGAAAAAAATTCCCGTACATTTCCCGTACATTTTTTAGTTTTCCCGTACCCCATTTTAAAAGTTTAAACAGATTATGATATTGTTAAAAAAAAATTTCAAGATAACATACACAAATTACTACCTATCCAAAGTTACACCGCGCATCAAATAATGCTATTATTGAAGTTATTTTTGGTGCGGAAAATGTAAGTTTTTATAATCAGGTTTAGAGTTGGATTTTATTATTGGTTACATATAAATCCCTTGCAAAAACATAACGATAAATAAAGTAGTATTATTCATCGCACTGTGTAACTTCAGTTATTGGCTTTTTGTATTTAGTTAGATAATATTTATTCAATTTTTATCTCATAGTCATTGGTGTACAGATCATAATACATGTTTTTCACATTTTCATATTAATTTAATTTTCGTTTTTTCTCATTAATTTCTTCAACAATCATGTCCCGTTTGCTATCCAAAGACACTTTTTCTTTTTCCAATTCTCGAACTTCTCTGGATATTTGTCTTTTCTTTTCTTCTTGAACTATCTCTGTTTCTTTCCTTTGCCGTTGTTCTTTGAGCATTTCAGTGTACCTGCTGTGGGAGTTTTGAAACGCGTGTACCATGGACTGATTGACCTCTGTTTTTAGAATACCACCACGTTCCATCACAGCATCATAAACGTGTCGTTGAGCAATCAAAGATGCCTCTTTTTGATTTTCCACGAGGCATTCTTTATTGACGGAAAATCCTCTTTCAACTGCCGCATTGCCATGTGATAATATGAGAATCATTTTCACAAAAATCTTCAAATTTTGGAATTCATCCATCGAGCCGAGAATTTTCATCCACAGATGATCGAGACGTGTTTCTTTTCGAGAATAATTCTTCATTTCATTCTTGACAGTGCTAATGCGGATGAACCTGGAATACTCTCGGGTAACAGATTCAGCCATGCTGGGGATCAGAAGATTTTTTTCGACGAAGATTTCGAGCGCTTTTTTCAAACGTTTTTCGCCGCCGATTTCAACGATGTCTGGATTAATGCACGTGATGGCTTGCGTCAAAGGATATTTTAATGGAGACCGATCGAAAAGTTTTGATATGAACTTTTGAATGCATTTCATACAATCCTGCTGGAACAGAATAATGTCTTTCTGGGACAAAGTTTTGGATTTCAATAATTTTCTAGCTCCGAAACCCACTTCAACGTCTTTAGTGAACTTGAGATTTTTACTATTGTTTATATCAATGTTCTTGATAGGCGTAGAATCCAAAACTTCTTTCTTGATGATGCGGGTCATTGCATTATGAACAATCTCAGTTAAAGCAGTGTGAAGAAATGGTGCCAACGGCTTGTCACTTTGAAATTCATTAAGAAACGGTTCGATTTCTCGGGCGAACATTTCGAAAAACGCCAGTTTCGCAGGGAGAAGCTCATCGTTGACCAATTTTTGGAGTATTTCAAAACTTTTACACTTCGGGTGCTCGTTCTTTGGTCGGTTTGCAAAAGATTCAGAGTATTTTTTGATTGCTTGTAAAATGACCGAAGTTCTTTGCGCAACAGGTGCATTTTCGAGCCATCTGATACTGCAAAATTTTAGTGGAAACAGGTTACAATTGGTAATCCGAATGTAATCTCCTCGCCGAGCAGGAACATCTTTAAAAAAATTGTATAAAGCTCTGAAGAGATCAATCAAGTTCCATCCAGTTGCCATTATTCCAGTTTTAAAAGCACCATGAAGAGTGTGGATGCCACATGAGCCAATATCCAAAAGTTGAGGATCGTCTTTTTCGGGTCGTAATTCTGCAGAAAGTAATTTCAAAACTTTGAAATTGACATTTGGACCATCCATCGAGATTTGCAAAATCTTTTTCATACTGCTTTCGACAAGAGCTTTTTTCAAGCCTTCTAAAATATCGTTGGCTTTAGCACTTTTCAAAAATACAGAAGTTAAATATCGCGTTTTAACCTCATTCTCTTGTGAATCCCAATATCTGACTGAGACGTCCATTTGTTGCGACTGAGCGTATTTGTTTAGAGATTCATCAAAACCAACCACGTATAAGTCACAGTTTTTTATCTTCTCGATTAATTCAGACCGAAAATAAGGACCTAAGCCGTATGTTATTCCGTAGCAAATTTTATCTTTTTTCAGTCTTAGATTTTCCGCTATTTTACTATCGGGGAAAATCGCTTTCATCAAAATGCAGTCCTTTTCAGAATTGCGAAGGGAACGATGTGATATAACAGTCTGCAAACACCACCTTATTTCAGCTGCAGCGACGGATTTCTTTATTAAGTAGAATTCAAGCGTCTTCTTCTGATGATCATTTGGGACGGACTGGGAAGCTGGGCCCTGCAATAAGTCCATTTGAGTTTTCTTGCATTCAGCCAAAGATTGATTTCCAATGGATGGGTCATCTGCAGATTTAGAGCTTGAAGGTTCTGAATCTTTTGTGGGCAGAATTTTAGGTCTAACAATCCATTGATTTATCAAAGGCACAGTTTTTTTATATGCCTCGGATGCTCTCCCATGCTTGTTGCCTTTTTCATGACTTTTTATGGCTGTAATTCCCATGCTAGCAACAGCAATTGAGCAGTGATTGCACCATTTGCATCTTGCAGCATATTGATCCTGGGGATGTGATTCAAGCCAGGGAAATCGGGTCTCCCATTCCTTGTTATATAAAGTTTGTCCACGTATGGTACGCTTACTCATCTTGACAAAAAAGGCAAGTTTTCTGCAACATGACAATCAAATACTTCATAGTAATATTTTTTAACGACTGATTTCTTGATTAATTATGATTTTATAGGCCTGTAAAACAAAACAAAACCTCAGTGAATCCATATATGTAATACTCCTATATCGCCAGCGTCCTATTCTCGCCTGTAAGTGAAGTGACGAAGAACAGTAAAGGATAGATGCTTACTAGAGCCTACTGCGCATGTTCCTTTCGTATACGAAGCTTGTCAAAATGGTAGTTGAAAAACTAAAATTTAGACTGTCCAATGGTTAAATTTAAAAAAAAAACACATAATTAGTTGTTGAAACAATTTTTCATTGAAGTGTACGGATCCATGAAATAATAATGGAATTTTTAATAGTGTTGACAATTATTTAACATTTTTACAATAATATGTTCAACTCTTTAGTAACATATCATTTACTTATTACTGAAGAAAAAATTAATTTAGTGTTAGACACTTAGTATACAATGTATACTATAAATTAATTGGTATACAATATATACTATACATATTGCTATTGTTTTGATTGCCGAATGTCAATAATTGACATTCGGCATTTATTAGTGATGGGTGATACCTATTGCTTACAAGAGGGGTCTACTATTTGACGAGAGAGAGAGGGAGAGAGTATTGCTCGCTTCTGCGCAGAAATGAGGAGTAAAGAAGAGGACAGAGAATGATTGTCGGGTCTCGAGAGACCTCTATCTCTGCTGGCAATATAGGAGCAGAGTTCGAAAATATCATGATTTCTTTAAAAAATCAAAAATCAATGATTTTTAGTTAGAAAATCAAAAAAATCAACAAAAAATTATTTTTTTGATTTTTATAACGATTTTTTTAATTTTGATATATTGTGATGTGGATAGGTATTAAAAAAAACAAAAAAATAATAATTATTGGTTTAGTGTAATCTTTTTTATCCTATAAGTAAAAAGTTTAGATTAAAACAGGTTAATAATAATTACCTACGCATATAATAATAACAATTATTAATTTATAAATTATTAATAATTATTGGCCTTATTTTATACTTCATTACGTAGCAATAAAAATACAATTATTTTATTATTAATCGAATTTGTAAAATTGCCATAAATTTCATAGTATGAAATAAAATAAAATATGATTCTAAATAGTAAAGTTTGAGAGCTTAATTTTAATTTTCTTAATTTTTTCTTGATTTTAATTTTCCGCCGTGACAATTTTGGTGATCAGGTACACCACAGTTGTTTTTTTAGTTACATTGGCCGCGGTTTGCAACTTACGGAAAACTTACGTTAAACAGCGCCTCCTCTTGTTGCACCCAAAATCAGCTCACTTTACCTAACACTCTGTAAGTTTCAAAAAAATTTAAAATAACAAAGCTTGAGCGTCACGTTTTTTTAACAGTTATATTATGACAGTAAATTCACTGAGACTTGGTCGGTAAAACAGAACACATTTATATTTAGTGGTTCGCCATCTGCACAAACCAAAGGCAAACAATAAAAAATACCTATTTTCACCAGGGTTTTGACTCTGGTTTTGACGTTAAAAATAGGTACTTACATAGCCAACGGCAGATTTTGTATGTCAATTTCGAGAACAAAATGTTAAGAATCATTCAATCACCTTTTTTGCTACATCAAATATATAAAACTATCGTGACACGCTTTGCGATTGTCCCGAGTACGGACTTATCTGGAATTTCACAGGTCAACAAAAAAAATGATGAAAACATTATTGCCACGCCTGAATTGGCTGGGTAGTCAGGGCTGTTGGTATCATTGGCAAGTGGTTTGATTAAAGAAATATCCAGTGATTTGGTAACGTCGGCGTCCTACTTTTATGAACAAAGATGGCGTCTGAAACCGTACTCACAGATTTTCCCGCGTTTTAACAACGATTTAAATGTGAATAAAAGAGTAATATAAAAAATCGTTACTTTTTACAGCAAGACTACGTGTTCAAATACCAAGTTTCTTGAAAAATCAAAACTACAGTTTATGACACAATTCCCGTACATTGCGAAAAATTCCCGTACAATTCCCGTACATTTCCCGTACACATCAAATTCCCGTACAATTCCCGCTTTTCCCGTACAGTAGACACCCTGCTCAGGTGAGCTTGAGCACAATTCCCCGCGTACGAATATTACAGCCACGTCCACAATTTTAAAATATGAGAGACCACACTTTAGTTTTATTTCAGAAAAATCACTTACATTTTAAACAAAATGTGAAACCACCCTTACCAATCTTTCTTTAAAAGTGCGACGTGCCACTCAATTCCAGCGAGCTTTCAAGGTCATTGTTCCAATAAGGACAACAACCAACCATAGAAATAGATATTGTGCAATGTAAAATAATATGTTTTTGATGTAAAAAAAATGCCTACTATTAAAGTCTTGTTTATTTGAAAATACTTTTATAAAATACAAAATGTTCACATTTATTATTAGATCTAAACCTAGAAATAGATATTGTGCAATGTAAAATAATATGTTTTTGATGTAAAAAAAAATGCCTACTATTAAAGTCTTGTTTATTTGAAAATACTTTTATAAAATACAAAATGTTCACATTTATTATTAGATCTAAAGCTAGAAATAGATATTGTGCAATGTAAAATAATATGTTTTTGCTGGAAAAAAAATGCCTACTATTAAAGTCTTGTTTATTTGAAAATACTTTAATAAAATACAAAATGTTCACATTTATTATTAGATCTAAACCTAGAAATAGATATTGTGCAATGTAAAATAATATGTTTTTGCTGTAAAAAAATGCCTACTATTAAAGTCTTGTTTATTTGAAAATACTTTAATAAAATACAAAATGTTCACATTTATTATTAGATCTAAACCTAGAAATAGATATTGTGCAATGTAAAATAATATGTTTTTGATGTAAAAAAATGCCTACTATTAAAGTCTTGTTTATTTGAAAATACTTTTATAAAATACAAAATGTTCACATTTATTATTAGATCTAAACCTAGAAATAGATATTGTGCAATGTAAAATAATATGTTTTTGCTGGAAAAAAAATGCCTACTATTAAAGTCTTGTTTATTTGAAAATACTTTAATAAAATACAAAATGTTCACATTTATTATTAGATCTAAACCTAGAAATAGATATTGTGCAATGTAAAATAATATGTTTTTGCTGGAAAAAAATGCCTACTATTAAAGTCTTGTTTATTTGAAAATACTTTAATAAAATACAAAATGTTCACATTTATTATTAGATCTAAACCTAGAAATAGATATTGTGCAATGTAAAATAATATGTTTTTGCTGTAAAAAAATGCCTACTATTAAAGTCTTGTTTATTTGAAAATACTTTAATAAAATACAAAATGTTCACATTTATTATTAGATCTAAACCTAGAAATAGATATTGTGCAATGTAAAATAATATGTTTTTGATGTAAAAAAATGCCTACTATTAAAGTCTTGTTTATTTGAAAATACTTTTATAAAATACAAAATGTTCACATTTATTATTAGATCTAAACCTAGAAATAGATATTGTGCAATGTAAAATAATATGTTTTTGCTGTAAAAAAAATGCCTACTATTAAAGTCTTGTTTAGTTGAAAATACTTTAATAAAATACAAAATGTTCACATTTATTATTAGATCTAAACCTAGAAATAGATATTGTGCAATGTAAAATAATATGTTTTTGATGTAAAAAAATACTTTTATAAAATACAAAATGTTCACATTTATTATTAGATCTAAACCTACAAATTAAGCTAAAGCTTAGAGTATATCATGTAACTATGAGCGAGTTTATAATAATTGAGTGATTTTAAGTTTAAAATGTCCATGATTAAATCTAACATAATTTTTATTTTTAAATCATAATTGAAGGGGTGAGAAACAAAGGGGTACAAGTACATTTTAGCATGAAAATAAGGGCAGAATTAAGTAGTTTGATTCAATTTTTTTTTAAATTTTCGTAACCTAAAAATTGTACGAGTTTTGCAGGTTGATAATACAAACAACATTATAATTAATTTTATGTCAAAGACAACAGCAACTAAAAATGATAGGTATATATACCTAAATAGGTAAAAATATTGGTATATATACCTAAATAGGTAAAAATATTGGTATCTACCGTGTTTGCAAGCTATGGAGTCCATAGTATGTACCATGGTCTATGGTAGTCACACTTGTCACAAGAGTTTATTGACATCATGTTTTTTCATATGATTGTTAAGTCGTACAGTTTCCAATGTTGTAAAGTCGCAGAAATCGCAACAGTAAGTTTTTATGTTTATTTTCACTCTATTTTCTGCTTCATTTTGTTCTTTATGTTTTCTATAGATGTGTCTTTGCAGCTTGTAAGTTTCCAATGTTGTAAAGTCGCAAAAATCACAAGAGTAAGTTTTTATGTTTAGTTTTACTTTATTTTCTGACTCATTTTGTTCTTTATGGTGTCTATAGATGTGTCTTTGCAGCTTGTGATTTTCAGCTGTTTTAAAGTCGCAGAAAACACAGGAGTACGTTTTTATGTTTATTTTTACTTTATTTTCTGAATCATTTTGTTCTCTATGTTTGCTAAAGAGGTGTCTTTGAAGCGTGTGATTTTCAGCTGTTTTAAAGTCACAGAAAACACACGAGTAAGTTTTTATGTTTATTTTTACTCTCCTTTCCAAGTCATTTTGTTTTGTATGTTTGGTAATAACGTGTCTTTGTATTAAATGACTATAAGGTGCTGTATAACCACAGTACACACATGAGTAAGTTTTTATGTTTATTTTTACTTTATTTTCTGATTCATTTTCTTCTCTATGTTTGCTATAGATGTGTCTTTGAAGCGTGTGATTTTCAGCTGTTTTAAAGTCACAGAAAACACACGAGTAAGTTTTTACGTTTATTTTAATTTTTTTTTCCAAGTCATTTTGCTTTTTATGTTTGTTAAAAATGTGCCTTTTTATTAAATGACTATAAGATGTTGTATAATCACAGTAC